TTTCCCTAATGACTAATAATGTTGAGCACCTTTTCATGTGCTTACCTGCCATCCATATCTGTTACAATTTTTTGCCCATTTTTTTTTTCCCATTGGGGGTTTGCCTTCTTCTCATTGAGATATAAGAGCTCTCTATGTATTCTAGATACAAGTCCTTTGTTGGATCTCCAACACAAAACGTCAATAGTTAAACTGTTGAGAAACCCTGATCTAGTTAATTTTGCTGAAAAGAACCATATTACACTGCAAGGAGTCGTGTATCTACACATGATTCACTTTACCTTTAAAAATAAAACAGGTAATTTTTAAAATCATATGCTTCTTAAAATCATATGCTACAGAATCCATTTACATCTAAGTCCAGCAAGCACCTTACCTATTCATACTTCTGACCATAAATCACCATAAAGAGAAAATTTGCTTAGACAGTATGATTTAGAATGAGTTCCAACTAAAAGAAGACTAACATTTTAATAAAATTTTGGTATGTCTTTCAGAGGCTTCCAAGCAGCTAAGCTCTCACTACACAATCACTCTAGAACCTTAAAAGTATAACACATTTCCTACGGCTTCCCTACTAGCCCTACCCAACTCTTTTCTTTTAGTGATGGGCTCCAAACAGTTCAGGTGACGACAACAGGGAGGCAATGTGAAAACAGTTCTTCTCCTTCCTCCGCTAGTCATCAGGTACCTTCCCCAACAGAAAAGTCCCCGAAGGCCTCCCTCAGAGCCTGTGTATTCTGATCCTGGTTGCCATTCTAACCCAGCACATTTATAGCATATTTCAGGAGAGTGGGGTGAGGTGACTTTTACATCTTTCCAACCTGAGAGTTGGTTTTTCCACAGGAACAGATGTCACATTTCAAACAGGATGCAGAACCGAGGAACCTGGATCATGGTCTCAAACCTACCAACAAGTTTGGGGCTAATTAATTCATTCTCAAGTCCTCAGTTTCCTCATCTATAAAATGCAAAAGAACTTCTACTATTTCTTCCAACATAAGGATTCTGCTACTTCAATATATAAACTAGTTTCCTAACAGCTAAACACTGACTGGGTACTATGTGCCAAACCTTGAGCTGTGTATTCACAATCTCATTCAATTTCCACTACAACTCTATGAAGAAGTTACTACCATTATCCCTATTTTTCAGATGAAGAAACTGAGGAGGCTCAGCGATCTATCCACAGGCCCCTGTCACAGGCTGGGACCCAGGCTCCACTGCTGCTGCCATGGGCACCCTGCATTCAGTAAAGTGGGAGGAACAGGATACAGCTTTATTCCAGCCACAGACAGCTGTGAGGAGTAATTACAGTCAGAGAGTTCCAAAAACCCACACAAACTCTAAAAAGCAAGTTTAGGACCATTTATGAAGTTTTACAACTCTCCAAACAACTGAGTAACACATGAAGGTGCCTATCTTCCCTCATTACATCAAATAACTTCCAATTACTGGCATGCTGTACCTAATAAGAGGACTGCATAGGAGTCCTTCTCATAGGCCATCAGAGAGACTCGATTCTTAACCGGATTCTAAAGCATCTCAGCTGTGTGCCTTTAGGTATGTTCTTTAATACCTCTGAAGCTCGTTTTCCTCACCTACTTATTTTTAAAAGTCTGTAAAGTCTCACCTTGCCTAAGGAGGCACTACATGATATGGCCCTTTTCTAAATGGTAATATTTCTGAATTTATCTGTCAATGATGATGTCTGCAGACTAACCGGGCTACTCTTCCCCAGTTCCTCAAACAATTTCTGTTTCCTGCTTATGCCATTTCTTCCATTTGAAATGCTCTTCCTGCAAAATTCTACTATTCAGAAGTATAGTCATCCTTCAAGACCAAGTTCAACTCCCACCTCCTCCATGCAGTCATCACCAGATGAACTGAAAGTGAGCATTCTTTCTTGCTAGTCATTTGGAGACATATTGTTTCTCCTTAGCTAAAGAATAAGAAACTTATGAGTAAGAATCACATCTTCCACGTCTTTGCACCTTCAATGTGCCAAACACAAGTAACCCGTGCATAGGTGCTCATTAAATGTATTTGTTCAATAATGTATGCATCCTTTCACACCTACAGAATAATATCACACCAGCAGCAACTACCACCAACCATTTTTACCAAGGCAAATAAGAAACAAAAGGTTTAAAGTGTCATTTTGATTTGCTTCGGCTACGATATATCTGAGCTGCTGATACAGGGAAAACTACTCAAAACCCATGAGTAAGGAAAAACCAAACTCACTCACCAATAAGTCCGAGAACTATGCAGACATTTGGTATTATCTCTATATGGTTAAGTAAAAATCAGCTTTATTATAGTCAAAAAAAAAAAAAGCTTAATTAGCAAAAAAATCAAAATGTCACATTCGAAGTTAAGTCTTTGCCAAGGAGTTTTATTTTATTTTTTAAATTTTTTGTTTACTTTTTGAGACAGAGTCTCACTCAGTCATCCAGGCTCAAGTGCAGTGGCATGATCTCAGCTCACTGCAACTTCTGCCTCCTGGGCTCAAACAATTCTCGTGCCTCAGTCTCCCGAGGAGCCAGAATTACAGGCACATGTCACCACGCCCAGCTAATTTTTATATTTTTAGTAGAGACAGGCTTTCACCATGTTGGCTAGGCTGGTCTCAAACTCCTGACCTCAGGTGATCCACCTGTCTCGGCCTCCCAAAGTGTTCGGATTAGAGGTGTGAGCAACCATGCCAGGCCAATGCCAGAGTTTTTAAAAGCCTTGGGATAACTATAATCAGTACCCCCATCAGGGAACGAGTAAACAGATGATTAGGTACCTCAAACTTCAAGCCCAGAATAGTTAGGTATTTATGATACATGACAAACAGCATAAATGGCTACAATACATGTTAAGTATAAGAGATATACTATGAAACACATTCTCCTCTAAATTAGGACACTGTGATAAAAGCCAAATGATTTTCAAAAATAATTTAGCTATTTTTTTTACTGTATCTAAGAGTTCCCAATGATTAAGATATCTAATAAACATTCACTTTTTAAGCTAAAAGAAGTTATTATATGGCTGTGTATCCACTGCCTTCTTGGTATCCTCAAATACTGTGGAGTTATTAAATAATCCCATCTAACATGTGAGTCAAAAATGTGTAGTTCATAGTTGGCTTTCTTCAGCTGAGCAACAGCTGTATTAAGTCAGATTCTTCGTCTTCCCAAAACAAAAATCAGTGTCAGATAATGATGGAGCTGAAAAATGTAAGGATTGCACTTATAATATCAGCCTCAAAGGTCAGGGACATGATGATGATGATGGTGATGGTTATCACAACAATTAATAGCAGCAAACACTTTTATAGTACTTATTACATACCAAGCATAACTCTAAGATCTTTTTTGTTTTTTGTTTTTTTTGAGATGGAGTCTTGCGCTGTTGCCCAGGCTGAAGTGCAGGGGCGTGATCTCAGCTCACTGCAAGCTCCGCCACCCGGGTTTACGACATTCTCCTGCCTCAGCCTCCCGAGTAGCTGGGACCACAGGCGCCCGCCACCATGCTCGGCTAATTTTTTGTATTTTTAGTAGAGATGGGACATGACTCTAAGATCTTTATAAATGAAAACTTAATTCAAACTCAAAAGAATTCTAAGACATATGCCACTATAATCACATTTTACAGATGAGAAAACTGAGCCACAAATAAGTTGGATAACTTTGCAAGGTCACACAGTTTGTAAGATACAAGGCCAGGGTTCAAATTCAAGAAGTCTAGATCCAGAAATCAGAGAAAATTAACTACATGCAATAGCCTTTTCCAATCTAACTCTCAAGATATGCTAATATCCCCTTTATCATCAGTTTTCCATACATAAAGTTAAATGTTTTGAAATTCTATACAAAGCTATTTGCATTTTTATCTTGTACCTCCTTCTAGGAAAATGCCTTCAAAAAAGTATTGCCTTAACAGGATGAGCTCTGCGGTGAGACAAACCTGCATTAAACTCCTGGCTCTACTGTGTGAGTGATTGTGATTGGGAGGAGATTACTTCAATCCCTCATCTGAAAAATGGGGATAACAGTACCAACTTTTATATACGGTTATTGTGATGATTAGCATAGTGCCTTAACACACGGTGAGTGATCTAGTAGGTTAGCTAATATTGTTACTAGTAATAGTTCTATTTGTTCTAAATTTACCTGTTTCAAATTGAAGAATGTTACTTCTAGTTCCAGAATACTAAGTTTGCTGACTAGATTAGGCCAATACTAAAAAGTATTAAAAATAAGCAAGAGCTACAATAACCTTCAAAGTAAAGACTGCAGTGTCTGAAAATCATTGTAGAAATGTTTCCTAATAATATATTTTGTTAGTGAAAAACAAGCACCAAGGGCTGGGCACGGTGGTTCACATCTGTAAACTTAGTGCGTTGTGGGGCTGAGGCAGGAGGATGGCTTGAGGCCAGGAGTTTGAGACCAGCCTGGGCAGCACAGCCAGACCCTGTATGTTAAAAAAAAAAAAAAAAAAGGATTTTTTTAATTAGTCAGGTATGGTGGCATGTGCATGTAGTCCCAGCTACTTGGGAGGTTGAGGCAGAAGGATCATTTGAGCCTGGAGGTTAAGGGTGCAGTAAGCTAGGATGATGCCACTGCATGCCAGTCTGGATGACAGAGCACTACCTTGTCTAAAAAAAAAAAAAAAAAAAAAACCACCAAAAATACATTAGTCAATATATACAACAATGGTAACTATGGAAAACTCTTATGAAAATTGGTTAATTCTTGGAATTTCAAATATCAGAAGCTGAGAATTCTTCAAACGAAGAACATGACTTGAAATTACCAAGAATAGGACACAAGAATTACATGAAATATTTGTGGATTCTACATCCTGGGAAGATTGTTTTGATGAATAATTAGAGCAAGCAGGTTTCACAGAGGTAAGAAGACAGTAATGCAGGTGGAGAAAAATCACTGTGAAATCACAGCTCTTCTTATCTTTCACCTGGAAGAGGGATATCAGGAAATACTTACTAGTATCTGGAGTTTTCCCTTCAGCTCTGCCAAATAAAAATTCGTATTTGGCCTTAGCAACACTCTGGGAATGTGCAGATGCATTGTTCACCCAAACAAATGTCTCTGCCTGCAAAATTAGAACAAAACAAAGACACATTTAAAATACATCATAAAAAAATACATCATAAAACAAATTATCCAACATGAGATTGGTAAATTAATTATGACATATGTACTTGATGCTATCTAACCATTCAAAATGAAACATGAAAAATACAACATGAAAAGAATCAGAATACAAACTATCACTGCATTATTACAACTATATAAAAATGTACACATATAAACATCTATAGGGAAGTCAGCGGAAAATAAAAAGGATGGCTTGAATGGGAGGCTGAATTATGGTCGATTTTTAAAAAAATTAATGTTACTTTTCTGCAATTAGAAAACTATATTTTGGCTGGGCATGGTAGCTCACACCTGTAATCTCAGCACTTTGAGAGGTCAAAGTGGGTGGATCACTATGTCAGGATTTCGAGACTAGCCTGATCAACATGGTGAAACTGCATCTCTACTAAAAATACAAAACTTAGTCGGGCCTGGTGGTTCCTGTAATATCAGCTACTCAAGAGGCTGAGGCAAGAGAATCGCTTGAACCGGGGAGGCAGAGGCTGTAGTGAGCCGAGATCGCGCCACTGCACTCCAGCCTGGCTGACAGAGCAAGAATCCATCTCAAAAAAAAAAAAAAAAGAAAAGAAAGAAAGAAAACTATACTTTGTTTTTAAACACATCATTTTCCAAGTGATTATCATTACCCACAGTCCATAACAAGAATATTTCTTTGTGTGGCTTCTGTGAAAGTACACCAACAAAAAAGCCAATCTTTCCCCAAAATAGATCACATTTTTACATAATCAGGAACACCATTCAGCCGAACAGGGCATGGAACAGAACTGCCAGGCATCCCATGTATACTGATTGTCCTACATTTCAACATCTGTTCCAGGGTCCCATGTAATTCCTAAAGTCCCTTATTTGAAACAAGAACTACAAAGGTGATGGTGAAAATGGTACATTCTCTGAACTCCTAAGACCTCCTTCCTCACTGTTTCAGGCAACTCTCAAAAACCAGGAGTGCCCCTATTCTCCGGCTGAAGACTAATTAAAAATAAGTAGCAAGGAAAAAAAAATTCAAGACACAAAGAAATTTGACCTAGCCCAGTCAGGGGGACCTTCTTTTGCCTCTTTACTCTGAACCTAAGCATTAACTAGGATACAGATATCACCCATACTGGTTTCTACCCACTGGTTATGAGACATCGTCTTTTCTCATGTCTGAACAGTGACTGACCATTCACTTTGGGGGAGAGAAGCATGAAGGGTTTTTATCAGCAACCAAGTAACTATTTCAAAGAGGGAAATGTTAGTATTTCTATTCTATGCTTTGGAGCAGAAATGACTGACAGTAGTAGGAAGACCCTATCACAACTCCATCACCCCACCAGAGACAGGTTCAGTGGGCAGACTCCACTTTGTTCTTCAACACCAATAGCAAAGAGCTAGTGTGCACAACATTCAGATAGCAATTTCTTAAAAGAGCTCCGCTATCACTTAATGTTCATAATGCGTCAAACGTAGCAGTCTGAAAAGGTGCATACTCCTCTTGGTGTTACGTGTTTGATAATCACAGGTTGTTAATTATCCTTTTCCCCAATAGAGAGGAAGTATTAATTTTGTGATATGTTTGGGGAGCTTCAGGCTACTAAAAGAGGAACCTAGCCAAGGGGCTGCCACCTAAGGTGCCCTAATTTAGGCAGGTGGTTAGGGAAAGCTCTCTGAGAAACTAACAGGTGCAGAGATGAGAAATATGACAGGCTGGGGAAGGTCAGCAACATATTGGCGGGAAGGCCATACGCATGGCATTAAGGAATGGAAGGACAGATGAGGTTACTCAGATAACTCAGAGAGGGCCAATGTGGCCACAGAAGAGAGGATGAGCGGGCAAGTTTAAAAACTTGCAGGATGAAGAGTGTAGGTCAAGGAAAAGACGAAGCAGTTTGATGGGTTTGACGGGAAGCCATTGAAGAGTTTTATGGGATACAGTCATTCATTTGCATTTTAAAAGATTATTCATTTACACTTTCAAAAGATCATATGGGTGTTATATGGAAAATGAATTGGAGTGAGACAAGAAGAAGCAGAGATACCAGCTAGAAATCCAAATGAGAACAGGGAAGCTTGGAGGAAGTAGGCAAAATTTAAATAAATTTTGGATGAATTTTGGATGAATTAAATTTTGGATGAATTACAATATATTTTGTAGGAAGAATTACACAGCTTTCTGATAAACTGGATTTAAAGAATGAGGGAAAGGGGCCGGGCACAGTGGCTTATGCCTTTAATCTTAGCACTTTGGGAGGCCGAAGTGGGTGGATCAGTTGAGGTTAGGACTTCAAGACCAGCCTAGCCAACATGGCGAAACCCCATCTCTACTAAAAATACAAAAATTGGCCAGGTGTGGTGCCATGCACCTGTGATCCCAGCTACTCAGGAGGCTAAGGCAGGAGCATCACTTGAACCTGGGAGACGGAGGTTGCAGTGAGCCGAGATGGCGCCACTGCACTCCAGCCTGGGCGACAAGAGCGAAACTCCGTCTCAGAAAAGGAGAAAAAAAAAAACAAAGAGGCAAAGGGAGAGATTAAGGATAACTATAATAGATACTAACCACTTATTCCATGCCAGGCACTGTTCTAACGTAATATATGGAATATCTCATTTAATGCTCAGAACAATTCTATGAGGTGGGGGCTACTGTCATCCCCATCTCATAGGTGGGAAAAAGGAGGCAATGAGAGGCTAAACAATTTTTCCAAAGATATATGAATCCCAGATTCACATCCAAGCAGTCCAAATCTAGAACGCTTGGCACTGGGGATGACTCCCAGGGATCTGGCTTGAACAACCAGGGGCATGTACTGAGAATGGGAAGACTACAGAAGAAACAGTACCAATAGCCTGCATTTGGGCTTCCAAGTGATCCCCCAAGGACTCGCTAAAACATCAGAAAAGAATGTTTTAATAAAGGAATCCATTACAAGGGTGCTAGAAAACAAGAAAAGCTATATAAAGCAAAAGATCTATAAAGCAAAAGTTTCAAGAAATTCCAAGAAGATAAATTTTTGATTAGAATCTCAACTTTAAGGCCAAGAACTATTTTCTAAAGCAAGGTTCCCTTTGAACAAGGATTCTTAACCTCAGGTCCACGGGGAAGGAAGTGCCCATCAAGAGAATTCTGGAAGTATGAAGCTGGGGAGGGGGTGATTTACATCTTTACTTGCATTTACCTTGAGATGAAATTTAGCATGTTTCAAATACAAATGTAAGCAACAAACCAGAGTATTGGTAGCAATAACTATAACTTGTCATCAATAGAAATCAATCATTTTCATATCATGTAACAGTTACTGCAGATATCTTGAAATATTTATACTCATCCCTAGTTTGAAATGATAATAGTTACTAGACTCATCATTAAATCTTGTTATCAATAAAGAAACTTGGCATTTTTGTTTTTTTAGAGATGGGATCTAGATATATTGCCCCAACTGGACTCAAACTCTTGGCCTCAAGCAATCCTCCTGCCTAAGCCTCCTGAGAAGCCGGAATACATATATTATCATACCACAAGTGTAATATTTTGGTAGCCAATCAAATTGGTTTCTTTTGCAATTCTATCTATATTATTGTATGCATTTGAAATGCATTATTCTGACAAAAGATCTAGAATTTTATCAGACTATCAAGAGGGGCCTGCTCAAGACTATTGTTTCTCAAACTGCAGCTCATGACCCATTACTGGTTTGTAAAATCACTTTAGCGGCTCATGACCGTATTTTCATATAAGTAAGTTTATACACAGATATCTATTTAATAGAATAAAAGTAAAAATACCAGAGCAGAAAACACATTGTAAGATAAGCATTGTTTCATGGAACGTCTAAGTGACACATGCATGTGAGTGTGTGTACTGAGTCATGATTAAAAGTGTATGTCTCAAGGTTGTGCATGACCTAAACTGCTTGAAACACATTACCCTAGAGTGGTTCTCAAAATTTATCACGAATTAGCATCACCTACAGCACCAATTAAAACACGTACTGCTGGGGTCCATCCCAGAGTTTCTGATTCCGTAGGTCTGAGGTGGGGCCTGAGAATCTGCATTTTCTAACAATTTTTCAGGTGATGCTGATGTTGCTGGTTCAGGAACCATCTTTTTTGTGAACCACTGCTCTAGACCAATGGTTTTCATACTTCGTTGTATATATGAATCACCTGGAATCTTGTTAAAACATAAACCGAGCAGGTTAAGGTGGGGCCTGGGACTCTGCATTCCTAAAAGTTCCCAGGTGACCCTGAGCCACAGACCAGCTTTGAGGAGCAAGGCTTGAAGGCGCTAAGGCTTCAGAGTGAAGCAGAGTTCAAAGCACACTCAGACTATTACAAAAGCGAAACTTTTTTTAAAAGGGCTGCTCTACCTACAAGTAAAATTCACTAAAGGGCTCTGCTTAATAAAGTGCTCCATTAACATACTCCACTTTGCTAAACAATATAAAATTCACTCTGCTTGCATTTGTGTGGAGGCTAAAGTAACCCTGTCTTGGAAGCTAATATGCCATGTTGACTTCTGATTAACCCCAGTTCTGGGAATGCCTCTGAGATTTCCAATTTATCTACTGCTCCTTGCGTAATAGCACATACTTCCAGTAAATCCTGCCCTTAGATCAAATTCCTACCTATTCCCTCTGAAGCTTGTGTGCCCCTTCCCTACGGGATATAATCCCTGGGTCTGGGGCATAAGGGCATGGAGATCTACCCGTCTTGTAGTTGCCCAAAACCACACTTCTGTCTGTCCGTTCCCCAATAAAATCACCCTGTAACAACAGCCTGGACCTGTGTGCCTTCTGCGTTGGTTTCTCAGCTCCACCTGCGCTGGTGGGTTACTCTTACCAAACAATTATTCTTGAAGCTGTGAGTCCCTACCGATACATCCTCTTCCCATGGCAACGTTTATAAATCTTTACTGATCTCTCCAATAATTTATGCAGGTCTTTGTTAAAACAATCA